ATTTGCGGGTGCCCTATAGTAATCACTCTGTCCGTCCGTCTGTCTGTCCGTCTGTCATTCTTCCGTCCACAAATTTTTCTGTTTTTTCTAATAACTTTTTTGTAGTCGACCAATTAAGTTCAAATTTGGTATGTTGGTTGAAGAGGCAGTAAGACATATTTTGATGCCAAGTTTGGTTCTCTGTGTCATCCAGTTTGGAGCTGGGGTGGTGGGGTAGATTCCTTAACTTTACATTAGAATGAATGCCAGGGCAAAGAGAGATACTGCTGAGAATGTTCCTATTGTAAACTATGAAAGCTGCAACTAGTCCCATGGGATTAATTAACTTTCCTCTAGAAGAAAATCCAAAGCATTACCTGTTTCTGTCAAATTGAGATTAATTAACACCTCTGTTTGCAAATGAAGTTTGTTTTGAAGTTAAATCAATTCTGAATTATGTTTACATTCTCTGAAATGTGGATTTAAATAATGTTCATACTTTATTTTGGTAAAATACACAATGAGTTATGATTTTATTGAATTCTAAAAACAAGATATATAAAAAGATATGTTTTATTTATTTTTTTTTGTTTTTATTTTTTTATTTCATTTATTTATTTATTTCTTCATTTCTTTTTGGCTGCCGTATGTAAATTCAAGAATACTATTAATTTTAACAGGTAGTCTGATAATAAACTCATTCAATCATTACTGAAAAAGTTCTTATTGTAAACTTGGAAGAAAAGGATGAGAGAGCAGTACAATTAATCCCCTGGGATTAATTATCTTGTCTGAGGCAGAAAATTTTCCAGGCTTATCTTTATTTGTCACTTTAAGATGAATTAACCTTTGTCTGCAACTGATGTTTGTTTTGAAGTTAAGGTCAAGCCTGGGTGATATTTGCAATCACTGAAGGCTGGCATTTTATAGAACACATGCTTTATTCTTGTTTAAATGAGTTATTATAGATATGATGTTTTTTACTGCCTTATGTAAATACAGGGATACTCTTTACAGGTTGTTGGATATTTAGGAATTATCTTGAAATTTTATAAATACAGTTGTTATTGCATATTCTTCTTCATATATTTTTTAATTTTTGTAATCAATTAAAATTCTCATTCTGTAAGCTGCGCCCTTATATTTCTACCCCTCGGCGGGGCTCTTGCTGACTGGTCAGTTTTCTAGTTAGTTTTGAAAATGTACAGTATATCTGAAAACAGCAAAGCGGAAAAACATGGGGGAAATCAACCAAATCCAATAACAAAACAAATCCGTTCTAATCATTTTGTATCGTTTTAGTTTTGGAGATGGACTAAAAACCAGGTGAAGCGACTGACATGCAACGTTTGCCCGAATTTCCCAAAGAACATCATAAACTACGACCGATACATATACGTACCATACAAAGCATAGATTAACAGAACAAGATAATTATAAATGTAAGAATTTTTAATGTATAAAAGAAAATTACTTTCGTAATTTAAATGATCAGATAGATTTGTAAACAATAGATAAATGAAAATGAGACAACAATAACTTATTAAATGTTCTTCGAAGATCAAGGGAGGCCACTGTGAGAGGTTATAATATGGGGTTAAAAATAGTACAGAAGCACAATCAGATCTTTGTTACGCTGTACTACAGCGATTATCAGAATTTCGGAGCGAAACAAAGATCTGTAATCAGATTGTATTTTGCCTGTACTTCATCATTTAGCAGTTTAAATTTTCATAAATACCGGTTTTCTCTGCTTTATATTTCAAGCATGAATGTTTTTGACAGAAATTGATTGTCTGATTTATGATCAGGCCGTGGTTTCTCGTAATTTCCATAAGATAATGTCGAACAGGAAAAAGCTCTTAAAATTTTCGGTGATGATCAACATGTCGGACTACCGGATCGTCGGACTATTGGGCCGTCGAACTACCGGACCGTCGGACTATCGGGTCGTCGGACTTTCGGGCCGTCGGACTATCGGACCGTCGGAATACTAGGCTTGAACCTATCAAAACTTACCACAGTGATTGTATTCTTTTTTGTCGCTAGTTAAATTCCACAAAGCAAGGTATTGACAAGTTATTGATCGCAAGTCACTTGTCAATATGACGTCATCATGGGAAAATTTTACGCAGCTAATGTGCAGTGAGAGACGTGTCGAGTATTTTTTTTTTCACATTGAAAAATAAAATCTATTACTAAACAAAATGTTGATTACAAGATAAATTTACCTTTAAACCCAAAGCAAAACCTCTGTTTGAATGTCAGCATTGAATAAATATAGTTAGAATGTATGTAATTAATTCTACAGTGTTTTTGTGTATAGGGTTGGCATGATTAACATTCAGGTGCCCCATTGAATTGCATTTTCGCAAGGGTATGCACTTAATAGATCTTAACTATTTTTTGAATATACATAAAAGGAATATCCCTTAACTTGAAAAGTGCAGCTGCGTTCTTGAAATCGAAAGCATGACTTAATAAATACATAAAATACTTGGTAAAGGTCACACATATATCAACATTAGCCAAATTACTTGAAATTTTAACTAGTAAAATGTGAATTCTATTTAAAGCAGCAGCACTCTCAAGGAAGTACAAAATATGCAGAAACAGTCACTTAAATTTTTAATTTGAACTAGGGATTGCCCGTGTGATATTGAAATTTGTTTATGACCTCCAAGCAGTACACATTATATGCATTTATCACATGACTGCCCAATGATGGGGCCAATCTGAATTCAAAACAGAGTGGGGTATATTATGTTATTTCGATAAGTATTAAAGTCATATGATAATAGAACAGCTTTACAAAAATAAATTCAGTTGAAAAAAAATACTGGTTTTTTTTTTTTGCTCGTCTATATTCCGTTGATCTCTTCATAGTAGGCTTTAACAGTGCTGCGACTTTTTTTTTTTCTTGTAGTATTGCAACTGACATATCTTATATGACATATTAAAGAAAATATTCTCTTGTTTGATTGCATGCAAGTGTATGCATATTCATAAGCTTGTTTTAAAGGAAATTACTCCCTTCCTTCTTCTGAATTTTGTATTCATGTTTTCTTAGATTTATTTTTCGAAGCAATGTATAATCTAATGTTAATATTACAGGGTAGCTCTCTGCAAAACGTTTCTTTCTGCTGACATATAGTATTTTATTTTCATTCTCAACAACAAGTTTTGGTTTCTTATTTATTTGCATCCAGTCGACATTTTAGGCTTTTAATAATACGATGGTCATTTGTACGATGATATTGTGTTTATCGTTCGCAATTAGCTGCGCACATGGATATGGTAAGTAAAAATAGTTGCCTTTTTTTCTTAGAAAATTAAGAAAATCATTATCTTGTTCAAACTTTAAAACAGCAATTGATAACCTTCCTCATCGCAAAAACTGATATATCGCATACCATAGATAGATTTAAAAATTGATTGTACGTTGCTTTACTTTCCATTTGAAAAAAAAAAATCACTCAAATAATGACGTCAGAATATATTTTTGAAGGGCCTAAATTTCAGATCTATACTCCACACTCAAGGCCATTGAGCAGTGATGTTCTTAATAGTGCCAACATTCACCTTAACACTGTACGTCGGTTTTTGCCATCTCAGTCGAAAGACAAGTGACTTTCACTTTTAATGCCAAGCGCTTGGCTAAGAAGCAGTCACTACCTATGTTTAGATAAAAATCTTAGGTTTGACGTGGTAAGGCGATAAAGAATCGAACCCGGGCCTCCCGATCACGAAAATACTACAACTAGGCTACACGTATAGCACTTTCATATGAATAACATTGTGTTTAGTGATCCGAAAACTAATAAGTCAAAAGCTAAATACTCATAAATGATCATTAGAATAAGTGATGTAGTTTTTCATTATGTCATTGTTCCTCATAAATCAATAATATATTTAAACACAAATCCTTCTCTCAAAATTACTAGTCCTTTTTCAAGTTTTTTTTAATAACTCTCTCTCTCTCTTTCTCTCTCACTCTTTAACATTAAATATTTTCTATAGCTGTTTCGGGGAGTTTCCCTGACTCCAATAAAAGGTAATTTAATAATTCTCTGATTTTCTTGCCCAATATTATAAAAAAAAAAAATAAATAAAAAAAAAATAAAAATACGTTCATTTTCAAGTGATTTATACTCTGCTTAATATGAGCTGAATGTATTGGGAAAAAAAGCATTCCCAATTATTTCACTGTCTATTACAGCAACGTTTTCTTTTCTTTTTTTATTTCAAAAATGTCACTCCCATCAGCCACGTACCTCCAATCGCTTGACTCTACAGTAATTTAGTGTTTTGGTGGTGTAATTCGAGGTATATTAATATAAATTGATTTGATAATGAAGAAACATTTGTCACATTTTGCTGCAAATCAATTGTATATTTGTATCATGCATACAATGTATATGTATGTATACATAAATAATTATTTACCTGTAACTATTGAGGAGGTGAGCATATCACCCCTTTTTATTGCGTTTGCAGGATACAATACGGAATTCAAATATATATATATATATATATATATATATATATATATATATATATATATATATATATATATATATATATATATATATATATATATATATATATATATATATATATATATATATTCACAGTTTTCATCCTTTGTAAGGATGTGCCAATATTTTGTCATTTTTTGGAATTTTTCGTATTTTTTGTGACAAAAACAAAACAGAAAAATTAAAGATAAAGATATATAATTCTTTTAAATTTCTAAAAAATAAAGTTTTATTATACAATTAAATGCATTGACCGAAATTTATTTTTTAAAGATATAAATCGACAGTTTTAATCATTTTGAATATCTCTTTTTTTTCCTGAGAATATTACCAAAAACTATTAAAAACTAAGATTTATCCCTTAATTTGCAGAATATTTTATATATGTACTTCTGAACATGTTATATTAGTGGAATAGCTTGTATTGTGCGAGTGTGAGAAACGAATTGGACTCGTAGCAGAACAAGTTGCGTCTATAGTTCAATGAACTCAACTGAAGAGTGCTGGTTCATAGTGGGAGAAAACAAAGAGTATGCAAATATAAGCCAATGTAGGCTAGTAACATTTCATCAGTGCTCAAAAGCTTTTGAGCACATTTCCAATTATTTCCTTTACAAAGGATTATTGGGTTTGTTAATATTTTTCTTAATTTATAATAATTTAGAAAACATTTTTCTGGATAATAATTTTGATATAAATCTTATGTGTTACATTTAAGAGTTTCAATTTTTGTGCACATGCTTTGGTTTAGCAAATAGAAAGTCTGCTAAAAACCTTCTTTAAGGTATACATATATGATCTATTTGTACTGAATTTCATGACCAATTCTTGCAGTGTACAGGATCTATCCTGTTTCAATTCCAAGTCAAGGTTTATATGCAGAGTAGACCATTTTATGCATTTTTCAGCTAAAGAAAATAGCGACAAAGACAACAAGAATATTTCAATACTGTATTCTTAGTTTTGCGCTAAAACAAATAGCAAAAATCGTTCACAGACGTGGATCTGATGATGGCTTTCTAGAATAATCAGAAAGAATGACAATGTTTGTACGAAACAATTTCCGCCTTATGTATTGTCATATCAAATAAGTACAACATAGTAGACAAACAGCGTCAAACAGTACCAAAACTTCCTCGTTTGTTACTCGCATATTCGGAAAGACTTAATATATAATCTTTTAGATACAATGGAGCAATTAAAAATAAAAATATGCAAATTCATGTTTGTACAAGTCAAGTTTAATCTAGGTCTGAGCTAAAGGTAACATTTTTAACAAACGGATAAATATAAAATACTTTTTTTTTCTGAAGCGTTTTAACTACTGGATAAGAATGAATTTATATCATATCACACGCTTTATACTTGACTTTAAGTGGTGAAACAAAGTATGAACTAATTTTTTTTTATTATTATCCTAGTGAATCTGGCTTCGAATAAACCAACATGGCAAGCAAACCCGTATGAACCAGGAAACAGTATATTCCACTCCAGCAATGCAGTAGACGGATTGAAATCTGACCGCAGAGGACATGGCGGACAGTGTGCTAAATCAGCTGATAAATACAGAACAGCCACCTGGTGGGTAAACCTGACAGGAGTCTACAGCATTCATGACATAAGGATTTATCCTAGGACTGATAATCGGAAGTGGAGTAGGTTCAAACATTTCAAATTAAGTTGCAAATGTTTCCACATTATCAATTTAAAAGTATGAGATCTTGCAGCTTCAAACTAATGGTATTCAAAGAAAAAAAAAATACTATGCACATAAACATCTTAAACTGTTGAAAGACTGATTATGTATGTAGTATACAGAACAATTTAGAAACAACAAACATTGTGATCATATAGTTAATTCTTCAAAAAGATCATTTTCATATACTTATGCAGCTGATTTTTTACCTTCTGAAAGAGATACATATGGGGATTAAAAATACTTACGTTGAATACTCATGTATCTTTAAGAAAAATCATAAAATACCAAAAAAAATGCTTCTTAAACTGGGTATTTTTTTTTTTTTATTAAATTACAGATGCAACCAACCACTACACGAGAAGACTCCTGGGGTTTTATGTATATGTGTCAAACACAACTAACCGACGAGATGGTTACCTATGTTTCCGAGACACAAATTATACCATATCAACGATACCGGATGTCCTCAATATAACATGTCCTGTACATGGGCAATATGTCATCTACTATAATGAAAGACTTTCCAAAGTTAAATATCCTGATGGATACTCCAGTAAGGCATACAACGATCTCTGTGAAGTGGAGGTTTATGGTATGCTATATATTGACCTCCAAAACTTCCACCAAGGCATGAAGAATTACCCTCACCCCTTTAAAAAAGATAATTCTTTTTCTTTGTTAATTGTATCCGCGGGTATGTTAAGGTTACACCCAGAGTTATCCTACTTGCCTTTACAATATGACGTCAAAGTAAGCTGTATGACGTGAACTTACTACTATACCCTGGTCATGATTTAATTATCATTAGAATCTTTGTTTAACGGAAAAGAATTTCACTAATTCAAAGAGTTTTATTTTATTAGCGTTTACATGAAAATCAAGAGTTAATACCTCATATGTGTCCAAAAATAAATAATCCTGAGAAAAATTCAATAAAACAAGGATGTTTGCAGTCTGAAAATTGACATGAGTGTGATTTTTGATCAGCATGGTAAGTGATGGGTAACACTGATACCCATGTAACACGCGAGGACTTTCTGCTAATGATGCCCAGAGGCAATTGAAACCTCAAGTCCTGACACCATTTTCTATACTGTGTATGGATTTTAATGGGTAAGACAATGCGGTTCTTATGTATGTCTTTTTTTTTAATATACCCATAGTAGATAATACATTTTTAAACATGTTTAGTTTTGAAATAAATATTTTGTTTGTTTGGTAATAACTTCTCTATAAGTTAAAGATTCATTCATTAAATATATCAATGAAATATATGGAGATAACGAACAGTATTTAAGCTGTAAAGTCCATTAAACAATACGAAATAGGAACAGACCTAACAAGGACCTCCAAAAAATCAGAGGTGGGATCAGGTGCCATGGAGGAGTGAGAATCCCCTGCCGACCGGTCACACACACCGTGTACTCCTTGTCATGATCAGGAAATAACGGGAAAACCCATCGACAATTCAGTGTGTAAATAATGGATTAACAATTAGTTTGAAAAATGTCAGTCAGCATTTGACTCAATGATAAATTGTATTTGCTGACAAGGTCATTGTATCGACAATAGAACTTACAAATGGTGATGTCTCCATATGAGTGAAACATTCTCGAGAGGGACGTTCTGGACGTTAAGCGAGACTGCTGATATTCTTGTTTCATCAACTTGTTTGTCAATAATCTACCTCGTTTAAGAAATTGTTCATATGTAGGAAATGCTCTTGCGTATCGAATCAACTGGGAGATATAAACCCCGTATTCAGGTGATGAAGGTATATTGCTGCATAAGTAAGGGAACTTGACGAAAGTTAAAGTCATCACGTTTATCATAAAGCTTTGTTGTTAGATTACCATTAACGTCTTTTTTCAAGTAACATATCAAAATATGAAACAGATGTGTCTTTTATCTCAAGCTCACTGGGATATGTCGTATTGACATAAGAATGGAAATAACTATTGTTAATTGAAAGTACGTCGTCGATATTTCTATCGAGTTGAAGGCCGCTGCAAGTGTTTTCTTCTTTTCACGTATAAGATTTTTGACAGATTCTGCTTCATATAAAAGCAAAAAAGGTCTGCTAATAACGGGGCGCAATTGGTACCCATGGGAATTCCAATAGATTGTTGGAAGACCTGGTGTCCAAAACCACATAGATATTGTCAATCAGAAACTCACGCATCTTTTTAATGTCAGCTTCAGAGTGCTTGTGTTTACAATCAGAATGTGTTTTAACAAAATAATTTTGCAAATGACCAATGACAAGGTAAGTAAATTTAGGAGTTTCATTTTTATTGCAAAAGCAGCTGTCAATGATATCAAAAATTGTGTAGAATGGTTGTGTATAAAGTTGAGAAGTCGTTAGTTTTTATGCTGTTGATTTTGGTAAAATCCTGTGATTTCAAGTTTTCCAAAAGTTCTTTGGAATTTTTAAGTATTTATATCTAATTTACACCACTTCTCGAATATATTGTTGCACAGTACTCTTGAAGTTTCTCGTTCACTACTGTTAATATCTTAGTGAGGAGTAAAGAGAGATCAAATATCAAATGATTTCAAATATCAAAAGATCAAATGATCAATATGAATAATTGATCATATTGTTAATATGACGGAAGTATGGTAGATGAATTTTATTTTATTGACATTTAACTAATTTTTAAGTTTTGATATGAAGCGGGTATAACAACATTTTGTATTTACTTTGCGGATAAAAAAATAGTAAGGACTTTCTAATCGTTTGAATTTTTAATGTGAGGATGTGATTGTCTTCTTCTTTAGCACATAGAATTATGCAGGCTTTTAGATATAGTTTAACAGCATTGGTTAATTGAATAAATTATTTTGTTTTAAACACCAGTATTTACATTACATACACGGGTAAAAAAAAATCCCGATTTTCAACTTGTTCTTTACTGCCAGAACATTTTTTTTTCAGTTATCAACATTAGTTTTTCAAAGTAATTCTACACTGCAGTGGTGTAAAGAGATTCACCACCCCTCAAGACCTAAAGTGCTTCAAAGGTCCGCGGTTAACGTATGTTCATGAACATCCCATTTTCTTTAGTAACTAGCCGTTCTGATTAAAATTTTATGAGGAATCTTTTTTTTTTTATTTTGACAACTTATCCACTAAAATTAAACAATAACTGAACAAAGACCTGTAAATTTTAAATTCACAAGGCGCGGGGATATAATGTCACACAGAACCTTTTTTCACGCATAAATAAACAATGCAGTCCAAGAAAGAATTCTCATGGCAGCTACGACTACTGGGTTTGCTTAGAAGACTGCAGTCTCACTTGGGTCTATATGGTACTGTTATATAATAAGTTTTGTTTTGTTTGTTTGTTTATTGTTTAACGTCCCTCTCCAGAATTTTTCACTCATATGGAGACACCACCACTTGCCGGTGGAGAGCTACAAATTTTGACCTATACCCGGCACTAAGGGCCATTGAGCAATGAGGGATCTCTTCCGTGCCAGCACCTACTGCATGCGAACCGGGACCTCGGTTTATACGGTCTCATCCGAAGGACCGGTTTCCATGTCCCACAGTGGGATTCGAACCCGCGAGGTGAGGATCAACTTCTTACTCCGCGACTCTGGAGCGAACGCTTCGACCACTGCGCGACTATCATAAGTTTTAAGCTATATGAAATATGTTTTTTCAAATATAGAATTCATATAACAAAGCACTAAAATAAAACATGTAATCTCTATACCATTGCACAACAGTTGGTAACCACATAACACAACAATTTTAACCACTTAAAGTGAATTTTGTTTGAAGTTGAATGGCATGTTGAGAAAGAAAGTAGATTATGCATCATTTTTTTTCCCACCTGAAAGAGATAACTATAAATTGAATTTTGGTGGAAAAAAATTTCCCCGAGATATGTTGTTAACGCATGGTGTAGAGTTTTGTTTGTAGTTAAAATGTTTTGAGGCAATGGTCGAATATTTGCAAGAAATATAAGGTGTGGACTTCAACTGTAGATATAGTGAAATACAAGACTGGACTATTTTGTGACTAAGAATATTAACAATGTTTACGAAGTTAATTTCTTTGTTGGCGAATTTAACGTAGGTCGCGGGGTTGGTGACCTTTTAAAATTGCTAGAAAACATATTATGAAAATTAGTTATCTGAATCACCTACTTTTGTTGTACATACTCTGAAAATTTTACAAAATTCGTCTGTATCGTTTTTGCGTTATTAAAACCCAAACATACCATCGTTATCGTAACATTTTCGACGCTATTCTATTGAATTCTTTAGGGAAAACGTCATTTTTGACTCGTTTTCAGGCAAGATTTCGTCTCAAAAAATCTCAGTAATTTTTAAATGGTGCAGACGAAATTGTTCTCCTTTTGGTCATTTCACACAGAGATTATTTCCGATAAATCTATGTAAAAAAATTAATATATCTTCGAGTTAGTTTTCTTGTAATTTAAATGCAAAAACTTCACTTTGCAAAATGAAATATTTTCAAGAATGACGCTAAAAACTAACGCGACGTCACGCTTGACGTGAATACGGTCCTGATAAAATGCAGGAAAAAACAAAATAATATACTAACAAATTAGAAAGAAATATATGTCTATATGCATTTAATTTAAAATAAGCACAGATGTATGAGTTAGGTATCAATGTATCCTTTCTGTAACACGTTACGGGTTTCAAATGTTTATAAGCTGTAACTCAGAGAGAGAGAGAGAGAGAGAGAGAGAGAGAGAGAGAGAGGGGGGGCTTGGGTGGGGCTTGCAGGTGCAGTACTCCTTGCGTAATTCAGTGACTTTTTTCTTACAAGATTGGGGGAGGGAATATTAATTAGAGAATTTAATTAGAAAAAAGAAGTTTTTTTTCACACCGGGAGCTAGTTCCTATATGTAGGGCTTTCAACTAATTTTTCAAGTTAAACATATGGAAAAAACAATTGATAGATATATTTGTAGGTACATGAAATTCTTAAAAAAAGATTATGACCTATACATTACCTTTGATTTCATAAAAAATTAATTATTAATATTTGATTTGTACGATGTGGTGTTTTAAGGACAGGTAACTCAAATGTAAAACATGACCAACAAAGTGCTGATTTTTGAGTTATCGTTTATAGGAATGACCATATAGGCTGCTTCAATTGGTATTGTTATGTACACAAAAAGGTTCCTTATATTCTTTGGTACACAAAAGGGTTGACCAAAACAAGGAGAATGCCTTCACTCTATACGTGGAATAACGGGATCAATGAATGGGGAACGGACTATATTCAAGATTTTTAACTCTCCCTAACAGTTGTTATGAAGAAGAAAATATAATGCTATGTTTTTTGTTTGTGCATTGTTGTGCTTCATCTATAAAGATAAATATTTCAACAATTAAATGCAACAATAAATTATCTTATTCTTTTCACTAAACACGAAGAAGAACGATCAAGTATAAAAATTTAATCAGATCAAAATTAAGAAGGGGGATGGATTTCACTTTATATTTTTATTAAAAATTTCACTTATATATTATTGTACAGTGTCTATAACTACATGATAATTGAGTTGAACATTTGAACTAAATTTTAAAACCACTGGATTTCCCTGTCAGCGAAGGAACACTTGGGAAATGCTAAAACTTGACATCCTTAAAAACAATTAGCTTCCTCGGACCCGCTCTAAACAAGTTCCGGTAATGGGTTATCGTTCTTTTCATCGAACCCTAGCGGCAGTTGAAAGGCCTACTATATGGGTGGATTTTTTTGTTTTTAATATGGATGGATTATATTTCTTATCTCCCTTAAAAAAGTTATACAAAGCCCTTCTTTGTATACGGAATTTTCACATTGGTAATGCTTGTACAAGTACACATGCATCATACGACTACTCCTTTAGCATGGTGTCGCTGTCGTATCACAATTTTTCCAAATTAATCTCATTCTGTTGGTAAATAAAAAAGATACCAAGAACTACTCGTGTTTTGTCTGAAAAAGATCACAATTTTTCACCGAAATTTGTACATTTTGTAAACGTTCGATTTTCATTCTCGAAGCCGTTCTATATTGTCAACGTATTTGCAAAATATGGTGTTTTAATATTCTAAAGAATTTAGCCTTTGAAGAGCGTTTTCTTTTAAAATGTTAAGATACACGGGAACAAAGGATGCAATTTTTTTTTATTTTGGGGGGAGGGGGGAGAGACAATCCAACAGATACAAACAAGCTCAGGCCCGTAGCAATGGTTTTTATTTATTTTTTTTTTTTTTTGGGGGGGGGGGGGTCAACCTAGCTGAAAAAACAACAAACACATCTAATTAGCGTCCAAATCCTGGATATGCGAGTGCTCGACCTTAGAGGAACAAAAATCCCCCCCCCCTTCCACGCCTTTCATTGGCATGAAGGAGATATTCTTGAGGGGGCAGCACAACCGCAAATTAGTTCTGTTTTCTAATTTATATTTTCATGTACTGGCAAAGTTATTGAGGGGAACAACTGTAAATTAGCATGATTTTCTTAAGTAATTAATATACATTGAAAAAAAATAAGGGGATATGCCCATCCTCCGATTCCTACCGAACTAATATCCCCTTTGTTTTTAGCACGAATTCCTCATAAGACTGCCAGCGATCTTTTTGTTTTAATCACACAAGTGCCGCTAGCTCCGAGACGTTGTTATTTTGGACCTTTCATTTCTTCGACGCAATATTTTTACTTTGTTCAGTTCTCTCCGTGATAATCGATGTTTCTAAATCTAGTTAAACATCACTGCCTTAATTCTGTATTCAAGTATATTATCTGTATTTATACGGTGCATTTCCACTGCATTCCTCGCCGATTTATTTTTTATTCTTTACTCATTTTCTTTTTTTTTCATACAGATGGGAGATACCTCCCAAACTTTTGCTTTAATTTTATGAAGTATATGATTAAATATCCTTGAAAAGAATTGTTTTAAAAGCCATAAAAACAATCGGACGAAAAACTTTGAGAGGTGTAAGTGGAGAATTAACAAATAACTACTCAGATTGGTTTGTTTTTTGTTTAGCGACTTTTCAATTGATAGCGCAATTTGCTCGACCAGGTAAGCAATTTAGATAATATCTGAAGCTAACAGCAGGCGCGGATCCAGGATTTTTTTCCGGAGGGGGAGGGGGCGGGGGATGTCCACCCAGTCAATCCAGAATTTTCTTGACAAGCCAAAAAAAAATAAAATTAAATTAAAAAAAAAAAAAAAATCAAATTCAAAGTCCATTCCCAGACGAAAAAAAAAAATGCCTATCTCATGGTGATGGTGGTGGGATCCACGTTTTCTACGGGGGTGTTCCAAAGTATTTTTTTTTTTATTTGATTCAGTATATAGTTTTAATGACTTTGCAAATTCCTGGGGGGGGGGCGCCCCCAACCCCCTCTAGATCTGCGCATAAATAGCATTGTAGGCCGTTACTTATAGAAGGTCTGTCGTCGTTTTTTTTATGCTTCACACTTCATAGTATCTGGGCAGTTTTTTAATTGTGATAGAGTTAGACATGTATTTTAAAAATTTCCTTTTTTAAAAATAAATTTTAAACTTTTGATGTAACAGCTGTAATTGCGGTTGTTTATGTAACCGGAAGTAGAACTCATTAATGAATAAATTAACAAAGTTACTAGCCAACTTGGCTTAAGGCAGTAAACTATCTCCAGTTATGTCTGTCAACCCAGGTAAGGGGATATCTGAACTATGATAAACGCTAAATGAAAACACAGTTGTAAGTTTTATAAATTTGATAATGTGAAAATGAACCTTTGCAAATGATAACAAATAATAAATAATAGTCAAAATTTAACCAAGAATAAAGGGAGGAATGTGGAAAACATATGAAAATAAATTATGTCCCTGCTGAGCTTCCATACTTATGAAAAAGGTCAAAATCCTATAAAAACTGCTATGAATGTCAATGAGTTGGAAAAAAGTAAGGGAAATGAGCAACATCACCCAATATGAACTCTATAAATGAAAACTCTAGAGTTGAACTTAAAATAATAATGCTAAATCTGGACTCTAAAAATATCTAACCCAGAAAATAAACAACAGCAAAACTAAATAATAAATAGTGAATAGTGGTTCTAGGAATTAGACCTGTTATCTACATTTCTAGACCAGGCTGGACTTGGAAAGGGGAAAATAAATTTATTCTATTAAACCTACACCCTAACTGTTTCCTAACAAAAATCTAGAACATGTGAAAAACGTGAAACTAAACCTAGCTAAGACCTAGAGTACTGTTAAACCATGAGGTTTTCTTCGCACTCTAAGGTACTAATCAAATAGTGCTCATAAAACATGAAGTTTTCTTCGGACAGTAAAGAGGAACTATCCAGGATGCTGTGTTCCCCAACCCAAGTAAAGAAAACTTAGACAAACACGGCTTTAAATACCCTAGGTAGGCCCAAAAATAAAAGCCAATATATATCAAAGATCCTACAACTAAATTAACCAATCAGATCACAGCTACCAAATGTACAATGGAAAGACTTCCAACATGGACGACACTTCCTGTTTAAAAAGTCAACACATGACCTAACTTATAACAGACAAATAATAAAGGGGTTTTACGTAAGTAACAACTGAAAACATAAGTAAATAGAATAATGAGACTGAAATATCAGCAAATACTTCTAAACTATAATTTACGAAACCAGGGCTAAGAAATAAAAAAATCTAAACCACTACATTTATATAATGACAGTTTATCAGTGCAACAAATCTTTTTTTTTTTTAATACGTCAAAGGAAAGAAAAAATCATGCAGTTAACACTTGTTCAGTTCCATATTTTTCGTGACACTGTTGTGGTCTCAATGTGATGATAAATAAAGACTTTCTAACGCTTAAATCGTAAATAGTTTTCTATTTGTGATAACTTCAGTTTGTGGTATTGAAGAGTTAAAATAAAATAATCGCAGATTTCTTACGTAGTGTGACGTCATAATCAAATATGCACAAGAAAGTTTCCCAAAGCATATAAATTGCGTACCCAGTTTTAAAGACGTCAGCAAACCCGCAATCTTCGTTAAATTTAAGGAACAGACTAATTTCTTGAGAATCTTTGTCTTCCTCAGAATTTGGGGGCTTAAAAAGCCTAGGATAGGCAATATCCATAAATACAGAATCCAACCTGTATTCTGGTGTTGAAGTCTCCATGTATGGACTTTCTTTTACCTTCTCATATTGACCATATAAACCTCTTAAAAGGACCACAGTGAAGCTCTGTGCGCATTTGGTACAGACCTAACTTTTGTTTGACGTAAGGAAAAAGCGATTAAAAAGGATATCATGTACACTAGGTTTATTCTAAGATCTATGTCTATGACTACTTTTACGTTTGTGTTTTGTTAAAAGTCCCAGAGTATTCACTTCCTTCACTGTGCACTCGAAAGGTTCCCCACTCTGTCAACATGGTTAGTGCAACCATATCAAAATGCAGTGTCTAGTTTCCTAGTCCAGTATCCTCATTATATACAGAAAGGTGTGCTTTAGGATTGGGCATTAGTATGGTGATATTTCTTCTCAAGTACTCTTTCTTTACAATCAATGAATTTGTTAACATTGCTGCATATACAAATGTCGGGCAGGAGTTATCCGGGATCCAGAGTCTAAATAATATATCAATATATCACCAATCTGGTTTTCAAAATTTAATCCTTGTAATATTTTTATAAATGGTATTGGTCTCAAAAACAAAAAAGTATCAAATATTAATACAAGAAAAAATATAAGGATACCCGTACTATTTTCTAGTTTCGCGTTAATTGTGACATCAGAGATGGGAAGAAAAATACAAGTAAGACTTAGCGGTTACCACTCAGCCTGTAGCAGATATGAAGTATTCTGATTACACACTCTTATATCAAAAAGACGTTTAAAACATTGAACCATTTTTTTAGTTGTAAGAGAAGTGAAGAGAAATTCGAAATATTTTAAGACGAATTCACATTTGCGCAGATTTTCTCTTTGTTAAGGACATTTAACAAAGTTGAATGCACTGACACAAAAAAAAATATATGAATTATGAAAGTATAAACAAAGAACGTTTTCTAAAAACCATCATTCCACTCTAAAAAGAAGTTTGTTTGTTTGTTTTTTTTTTTTTTTACTTCTTATCATTTTTAGGATGTAGAACTGGATATTACGGATCTAATTGTTCTCTCCTCTGTCCATACAATTGTCGTTATTGTCACATAGAGACAGGAGAATGTTCATGGTGTAGACCCGGGTATCAGGGATATCAATGTGAATCTGGTAAGAAATTTTGACTATGTTTTTATTACTGGAGCTGGAATATACATGTATGTATTGAATGGTGTAAGGATTATTAAGATCATTCTCAATCCGCATCCCTTCTTTAAACTTAAAATGACAAGCTTAAATGATACAAACATAATATCGAATTTGATATAGAAGGTTTGAATAAATAAGGAAGTAAGGATCTTAGTCAGAATTTTTTCACAAGATCTGTGTGTGTGGATAAAATTACCCAGAAATGACCAAATTATACATGAAAATATGCAAATATATGTAATATATCACGAATCTCCATTTAACTATTTTAGTTTTATGATTTATGGATGAACATTAGAAACTACTTTATTTTTATGAATTGCAAGAACTTTTCCTTCTTCTTCTTCATGGTTCAGGCTACATAGGAGACCTACTTTGATTTTCTTTGATTTTCCATTGCAGTTCAAACAGAAGAAGAATCATATTGGCAGTTTAGATTTTATATCATGTTCGGTGCTTTCTTTGTTGCAGTGACAGCTAATGTAGTCTTAATTACTTATATCTGTCAGAAGGGGTATGTAAAATTAGCACAATTTCAAAACCAAATAGATCTTTTTAAGGTTCATTTATTTTAGCAAATGTCATACTTTAAGAAACTTTAAACTATGAGTTATATATCATATCTGCAAATTATTCTTTTTCATAGGCGACAAAGGGGAACAACGCATATCCTGACGACAAAAGAGAAATGCAATCCTGTAAAAAGTAAACCGATTTATGAAAATGATGAAGGAAATACCAATGACTGTTATCAGGAACTAACGGAAATGTGAGAAATGTGAGAATCATTTAAATATGATGCACTGCGAAAGTTGAGGAATGGAACACGTGATTCCAAAATAATCAAATTTTAAAAGGTAGATGCGCTTTGAAGAACTGTTCTGGAAAGCATAATTCAAATCAAGCTAGTATCCCCACGACATCTACATTATACCTTTAGATAATTCACTGAAGATTCTCATAATAATTGAGTTCCTCAGAGCATATTACTAATATTTTTGGCACAGTTTAATATCTTGCTTTAGACAATAAATGCCACTCACCATTCCCCCCCCCCCCCCCATTTCTGTCAGAGATCTAGGTAACCCAAATTTATTTCTTTCCTCAGTTTTAAATCTACAAATTTGCACATTACGAATATCAGTGTAATTTTTGTGTTTTAAAGAGCGTATGCTACTGCGTTGATAAATAACACACATTATTTATCAATAAGTTGCTTATTTTATTTTTTTTATTTATAAACGTACATGAATAGAAAAGGCTAACAAACGTTCAAATATGTTTAAGTCTTTCTTCATCATATAAATCATACTTTTAAATAAGCACATTTCGCAGACTTTAATTTTTCTTAGATAGGTATAAATGAAGAATAGACCATGAAATCAGTTGCAATAGATTGTTGATTGATTGTATGTTGTTTTACGTCCCATTCGAGAATTTTTCACTCATATAGAGACGGCACTACCTTTACTCGGCACTCAGGGCCATTGAGGAATGAGGGATCTTTATCGTGCCAACGCCGGTCGCGACACAGAACCTCGGTTTTTAAGGTCTCATCCGAAGGACAAGCAACTTTCACTTCAAAGTGCCGAGTGCATGGTGAAGGAACAGTTGCTACCCATTTTTTATTCACTTAAGTCAGTCGCAGGCGAGATTCGAACTCACGACCTCCCGATCACGGAGGGAGCGCTCTACCGACCGAGGTACTTTGAACGGTACACTTGCAATAGAATGGTGTATTCATTATTTCAATTCACAAAGTTAACGGAGTGCATCTTTCATTATCTACTGGGTATATACGTTTGTAATTTGATTTAAGTCGCTAATAGCATGCAAATAAGTATTCCTTTTATGGAGTAAAGCTTCATTAATTTTTATTAAATAAGCGCAAAGGATAGGGTTTTTTTTTCAACGTCTTCAAAATTAGGACACTAGAAGAAACAATAAAAAAAATCACTACGATACTGTAACTTTACAAAGATTGGGTTTTGTATTTGTAATTTTATTTTCTTGCAGTTCTTAAAATCTATAGATTTGGAGGACCTTTATTGCCAATGTAGATCAATATGATTTTAAATATGTGCATGAAAATTCGATGCACTTATCAAATAGTTATGAGTTGGGCATCTCTTTGATCAAACTCGAAACAGAAACTATTCCCAGAGGAATATTTTTTTAAAAAATAATGTTCAATGAAACTATCATTGTGGCATGGTTTCTATAAAAAAAGGTCAATAGATCAAAAAAAGCGTGAACAATGTCTCCATGGTGTTATTTTTTTATGGTATTCTCCAAATGAGACTTAAGAGATAATAAAATATCAGACACGGATAGGTTTCGAATCTTTCACCCTAAGTTCTATACGTTATTGTTTACAAAGTTGCAGATTTCTTTGTTTATTTTCCCCCAAAAATTTCTAACGCATTAACGAAAAAAGTCGGAGTTCGATTATTGAAAAGGATTTGTAATTTTTTTTAAATTTATTTTTTGGTAAATATTATTCAGCCTAGTATTCAAAGAAGAACACATAAGATGTTTGGCACAATTCGTAATTTTTTTTACAATGAATGTATTTGTACTTTGTTTGAATCTGCCTTGTGTTTTGTTAAAGCAAACAAGTACAGTAGTCATACCTAGTCATAAAATATCAGACTTAGTTATTGATATATCTCGAAAATCAGGAAGGGGTTATATAATTTCTAAAGATACAATGACGAAGTTAAACAGAATATAATGTATTTCCTTTAATGATAAGTTCAAGTTACTTGGAAAAATGATATAAAAATTTTCTTGTAATATATGTAAATACTCTGTATTGAAAACATCCAAATGTTCCATACAATGTGCATATACGTGTAATCACATTTTTTTTTTATAAGCCTCAAGATTCAAGATAATTTGCTATTCGTCAAATAGGCATATATATTTTTAATTTGTATGTACATCTCTATTTGTACAAGGGCTTAAACATAAAAAATAACAAAAATTAAAGAAAAAAAATATACTTTAGAAAACTTGTAATGTATTAGAATCTGCTAGAATTGTTACAGGCTACACAATCTGTTTAAAATTGATTTGACATGTAAGCAAATTTAGCTTTTAGATTCTTGCAGAGTTCAGTAACCTACTGACATTAATCTGAAAGTGAGTCATCTAATGTCCAATCGTCCACGCTCAAAAGACTTTAAAAAAAATGAAATGATTTAGGTACAAAGATTCTTGCTAACTGACATCCAATGTAGTCAGGCTGTACATATTTGTGCTTATTAGCTAAAATATATAAAATTTATTCCGGTGTTGTTTCTAAGATATTACAAACCTTCTTGTAGATTAAGTAACGTATTGCCATACTTTCATGTTAAAAAGTCAAATTTGAATGGCTTATAAGCATTTGTTGAAAAAAAATAAATTATACTAATGTGTGCTTTATCCATTCATTTTATATAAACAATACATGGTACACTTACTGTAAACAAGATGGCTTAAGATTTCTATCAAACTTAATATGCAAAAGCATCTAAAACACAAGTTCTTAATTGAAATGGGTTTTTTTAATTCTACAACTGACTGGAATTCATAAAGTAAATTATTTTCAATGAGGAGAGATTCTAACTGTGTGTAAAATGCCTTTTCCATTATCTTTGAATCAATGCTTAGAATACTTACAGGTCTATAATTTTCAGGTTTTAATCCCCTTTAACGAATAAGGGTTTGACTTTAGCAATTTTTAGATCATTAGGCACAGTTTCTTCTAATATTGACACACTGATTAAGTATGTAATGGTATTCTTTTTTAAGGGACAGCATCTTTAAAAAATCTGACAGAGATATCATCAAGTCCTGTGTTTTCTGAGGTTTTAATTTGACGTAGCTCTTTGAAAACAAAAGTCTCAGATATATGTTTTAACACACACACACACACACACACACACACAAAAATAAAAAAAAAAATAAAAAACTTCTCTCTTTTCATAAAAATGTTTGACAGCTGTTGAAACAGAGTTATAAACACCATAGGAGGAAGACAGTTGACTGACCAGTTTACCTGATATATATATATATATATATATATATATATATATATATATATATATATATATATATATATATATATATATATATATATATATATATATATATATGTGTGTGTGTGTGTAGGTGTGTGTGTGTGTGTGTGTGTGTGTGTATTTCATAAACATGGACTTAACGGCATTAAGGTTATAAAATGAATAAAGATAGATAAACCACATATATGCACATAAATGAATACAGTCTTTACACTTTACAGTCTACTAAATATTTGAAAAGCTTATCGTTATTGCTGTAGAAAAATTAAACTTACACAAATACCTGTTGCATTTTATAATTTCACCAATTATATAATAATAACTTAACCATTTTTCCCTTGATTTCATCTACTTTTTTTTAAATTCTGTTAAGGTATCCGACCCACATTAGCCTCAGATTCAATGTGACTGAATGCATAACAAATATGTATGGGCTGAATGCTCTGTATATATAGACATAACTTTCATGTTTTAGTATCAGTATGTAAAAACAAAACATGCTCTTACATATGATCTTGACCTGTCCTTGAAGAATTATCACCCTTTGATTTTACTAAATTAAATTTAATTATGAAAAAAACTATCTGGTAAAAAAAAAATTCAATCATTTTTCCATTTCTAATGATCAAACACATCTATCCACCAGAGCATTAATTAATATTCTTAGTATTTATTGTTTTATTTAAAAAAACCTTTCCACAGACTTTAATGCAATCATCAATGATTAACTACTGCTTAGGTAATATATTTTTGGAAAATTTCTCTTGGTAAATTCTTCTCTATTCTAAAATGCTTTGAAATAATTAAGTCTTAATATGGGTCGGACACCTTAAGTAATCTTTCAGGGATGGACATTTCAAGGATACAAAAATTAACTTATTTGGGTAATGCATGGTTGAGCATTGTTGCCACGTGAGAAACTGTGGCTAATCTTTCTTTGTTTTCGCAAAAAGACCGATAAAAGATTGAAATGGCTTCTTCCATTCGTCCATTTTCTTTTAAGCAGCACCCAAGAAGACTCAACGCAATGAATCGATGTGATAGTTTTTTGAGTACAATTTCTTCAAACTCTCTGAGGGCAACACATGACCCTATGTTGTCTTCTAATAAGCGAGGACATTTAAATTTCATATAACAGATGTAAACCATGGGATCCACAGTGACTTTCAAAGTTAATTCACGCTTCAACAAGTCTGAATAAACGTTTTGTTGTATTTTCAGTGCCAGCATCTCGATCTGAAAGTCCTTTGTCAACATAGGAAATTCAAAGGGATAGAGTTTCATAAGTATCACTGGCCGACATGGCGAAGTTGATGCTTTTTTACGCAGTGAATTGAATAAAAATAAGGCAGTGATTTCAAATAATGACATAATGTTATCCACTTTGATTTGTGGTGTTAATTTTAAACTATCCAGCATTGACATTAACAGATGCAAACAGTCTTTGATACATCCAAATGAAAAGAATGTATGGGCTAGTTGTGTAACTTCTCCCATGGTTAGATTTTCTACCTGCAAGTTTGCAGTTTTAATTAAATAATTAACAACTTTAAATCGTTGTTGAAGCGTAAAAGGCTCAGATGAAGCCTGCATCTTATGATAAGATGCAGCGCATACAGCATGGATCTGCATGCAAGAGAATTGTCCAATTAGAGTCTCAGTTAGAATGGGTGAGAAATTCTTCTTGTTAGTTAGAGCTGCTTCTC